TACACAACTTAGCACACTATAGTACTTCAATTTAAGCTGCATACACATCCTAGGTGATTATCAGCTGCAAAATAAACCTATGGTAGGTAGAAAGTATGAAAAATCCGTAATACTAAGTATTTTAGGAAAATCAGGAAGGACAAAGAAAGAATTCACGCAATAAATTTCCTTATACGAAAATGATGCCATAAAGCAACCTCATAAGTCATGTTTATTTTTACCAAGCTAGCAAGACCAAATTCTGGATCTGCAACAAAGAAATAAAGACTCCCGTCATAATGATATAACTATATGAAGCATGCATAATGATTGAAGGTACGCTTTTTCCCCAAATATTATATGACACTGCATATCACCAATGGAAAAACTTTAGTAGATGTGCTTTTCCCCCAAATATTATATGACACTGCATATCACCAATGGGAAAACTCTAGTATTAGTTTTTGAACCAACGACAACAACGAAAAGAGAGCAGAAATCCAATTTAACTTCTTATCAAATTAAACTAATAAACAATCAAAATGACAAGATTATCATCCTGTAGAAAATGGGTAATATGGTTCTGATTCCAAGATAAATATACAATTTTCTGAAACAGCAGAAATACCATCAGCATCACAAGTATATATTAACCACTTCTGCAAAATCATATTGTAACAGATCTACAATTCTGCCTAGCTCTATCTGTAAAATTGGTTTTTGGCATATCTTTTTTGAAACACAAGGACCACTATACGACGACCAAGCAACACAGTTCAACTAGATTAGAGTAAAAAGTGCTTAGTCTTTGCACGCATGCTCGAACATATGTACAACGAACATATGTATGACTATACCGCAGAAAAAAGAGCACTTGCTCTTTAATACTCAACAGTTGCCTAAGTTGAACTGTCCTTGAAGTAAAGTATGAGTAATTTAAAGCTCACCAATTCCCATCTCGGAAAATATCTCCTCTTGGATAGTAGTGGTAACAGCAACAGCCTCCTGCTTGTCACCGACAAATATCAAAAAGATCTGATTTTTACGAGCTCAAATATCGTATTGATCCCTGCTCAAACATAGAGGAAGCTATTGTAAGAACTCAATTATTCTTTACATATTCAGCAATAAAAAAGAAAATTTTATACCTAGGGGATATTCTGCCTTGACAAGAAGACCGCGAAAGTTGCTACTATTCTGCTTCAAAGGCGAAAATTGTGCGACCTTTACAGTAGAAAATAGGATGAAATTAGGGTGCAATTTTATATTTTCCTCATAAAATCGATTGCAAAAAAGGGATGAATTATAGTACAAAAATATCCTAACAGATTTCTAATTAGATTTAAAGTTTCAACAGAAAATACTTACAACATTAAGGAAGAGAAAATTAATAAGTTGAACAAGATAGCTCTTCGATTAGTTTTCAACTTATCTTTCACCACATGAACAGATTTGATTCTCTACCAATGAATTCGAACACTATTTTGAGAAACCCTAGAGGATTAGCAAGATGAGTATTAACCTTAAGGAGATTTTCCACCATTGACGCCGCCGTTGCCGTCGATGGTAGTTTGTCTTCTCCTCGTAATCTCCGGTAACGAGGAAGGCTATTTGGGAGAGAGAGAGAGTTGTGAGTGACATTTGAGTGTAGTATATCAGATGCAGTGTATTATTAGGTTCATACTCGTATTTATTACATATAAAAAATAATAGAAAATTAATTAGAGTGGGTCTCTTTTTAGCGGGTGTCGTCCAAAGTTTTGGGAAAAAAGTAGAGGGAATTCATAACCGTTGCAATAAATCAAAATTTTCAAATAATCGTTACCATAGATAAACTTATTGTCACTTTTGTCTAAACCGTTGCCGTAGAAATATCTGTTGTAACGGTTTTTGGAGTAATGCAACTGTTCAGGTGCTAAACTATGCCGATAGTACTAATAACCTTACCCCATTGCAATAGACCATCTATAGCAACGGTTACAGATCCGTTGCCATAGCCCGAATTTCTAGTAGTGTAAATTTCACTGAATAAATAATAATGTCTTTACAAAATTTATTTACTGAATAATTCCGAAATCATCCCAGAACCCGGTGTCACAAGTGCATGAGCAATTAATTGGAAATCTAATAAAGTACAATAGTTGTCCGGAATACAGACTTGGATAGAAAGTAAATATAATACACTGAAAGAGACTCTGCTTGCTGCGAGTCATTTCGAGAGATGTGGCTCACCTAAGTCTATGTATCATCCATGCTGCTACGTCCATCAGGCCACTAGAGGTACATGTGTCTGTGCAACAAAAATGCAAAGCAAGTGTAGCATGAGTACAAAAACAACGTGTACTCAGTAAGTATCCCGCCTAACCTCGAAGAAGTAGTGACGAGAGGTCGACGTCGATACTTACTAACGGTCCAATAATATCGTTATAATAAATAAGCGTATAAGTATGAAACAAGGCAATTATATGAAATAAGCTTGTATAAAACACATAGTAACATCCTCCTTCTTCTTTATTCTTACTCAAGTTTTCAGCTAACAAGTTCCCTCCGTAACTGGAGCACATATATAGATATGGTGGGTATCATCAAGAGGCTGTCATAAATCAAATTAGGGAAAAACCCTAAGATACACCGGCTTCTAGCCAAATATTACGCACGAATTCCATAAAAATGATGTACATATACAGGAAATGCCGAGGCGTACGGCCCAATCCAACATAAAGGTAAACTGTGCACTGCCGAGGGTCGAACGATGCGAACCATAGATGCATCTATTAACCTGTTGAGACGAACGACCCGCTCCCATGAGAGTGTGGTACATAAATCCTGCCGAGACGAACGGCCCGATCCCATAAGAGTAGTAGAAGGAAACACCCCGCTCGCGAACCATACGTGCGATGCGGTAAAATTTAAATTTAAGAAATCACCCTGCTCGCGGATCATGCTTGTGACGCGGTCAAATATAAAGTTACATTAAAATCATATCTCATTCTTGATTCTTCTCAAAATAAGGGAAATTCAGCTTGTAGTTCTTTAAGGAAATTACTCCGCTCGCAAAACATACATGCGACGCGGTTACGCATAGATTTCTTAAGCTATTATAATATTCCTTCAATTCATTTCAAGAATACGAAGTTCAAATAAAAACTTTTAAGATCTCAAATTCCTCAATTTCAACTCTTTTCTAGAGATTTACTAAGCAAACTCAATCTTGCTTCTTCTCAAGGCAAACAATAAACATAAATCAACAACCATATCAACAAGGCATGGTGTAAACCTAAAACTACCCGGACATAGGCATAGCTAGTAGCTACATACGGACTCTCGTCACCTTGTGCGTACGTAGCCCCCACAAATAGAGGCACATATTAATTTGGTTCCCCTATGGGATTAATTCCCTCTTACAAGGTTAGAAATGAGACTCACCTCGCTCCGAAGTTCCATAACCGGCATTCCATGCCCTTCCGAAGACTCAAATCGATGCAAAAATGCTCCAAAACTAGCCAATAATCATGTAAACCCATTAATATATGTTCAATTACTCATTATAGTCCAATTTATAACAATTCCTAACCCCGAACGAAAAGTTGACAAAAACGCTGTCAGACCCACATGCCCGGATTCCGAAATTTTTTGAAGATAAAGTTTACCCATGACCTCGAACTCAAATATATAATTTATTCTCAATTCCATGCCCAATATCGTGGTCAAAATCCAAAAAATCTCAATTTCTAGGTTTTTCTTGAAAATCCCTAGATTTTTCACAATTTTACATGTTTAAATCCATATATAATCCTTGCATTTAACTCATAACTAGAAGAAATCACTTACCTCTCTGATGATGATGGAACCCCTTCTCAAATGCTCTCAAAAATCGCCTAAGACCAAGTGGGAAATGAGGGAAATGGGCTAAGTCTCGGAATAAAAAGCCATTGCACCAGACGCAGAAGTCGCATTTGCGGCCTCTAGTTCGTAATTGCGATGGTCGCATTTGCGACGAAGGCATCGCAATGTGAAGCCCGACATACCCCTGCCATGGTCGCATTTGCGACAAAAATCCTCGCAAATGCAAAGAGGACAACATCGCAAAAGCGATGAACCCCTCGCAAATGCGATCTCCCCTCAGCAGCCCCAGGTTCGCAAATGCGAGCCTACCTTCGCAAATGCGGTGATCGCAATTGCGACCAATTCCTTGCAAATGCGATCGTACCAGAACCAGAAATTCCAACTCCTTCACAAAACACTCCGAAGCTACTCCGAAACTCACCCGAGCCCCCGGGGCTCCAAATTAAACACCCGCACAAGTCTAAAAACATAACATAGACTTGCTCGAAGCCTCAAATCACATCAAACAACGCTAAAACCATGAATCACACTCCAATTCAAGCTTAATGAACTTTAAAATTTTAAATTTCTACTTTCAATGTTTAAACCTATCAAATCATGTCCGATTGACCTCAAATTTTGCACACAAGTCACATTTGACATTACGGACCTACTCCAACTTCCGGAATTGGAATCCGACCCCGATATCAAAAAGTCCACTTCCGGTCAAACTTCTCAAAACCTTCAAATTTCTAACTTTAGACAAATAACTCCAAAATGACCCACGGACCTTTGAATTCACTTCTGATCGCGCTCCCATCACCAAAATCACTATACGGAGCTATTCCTAGACTCGGAATCCTAAACGTACATAGGTAACACTGAAATCCACTTCAACCCGAACATATAAAATTCTTCCAAAAATGCTAACTTCCACAATAGGTGCCGAAACGTTCCCGGATCTTTCAAAACCCGATCCGGACATACGCCCAAGTCCGAAATCATCATACAAACCTGCTGGAAACTTTGAATCCCGATTCCGAGGTCATTTACTCAAAAATTCAATCTTAGTCAATAATTTCAACTTAAAGCTTTCGAAATGAGAATTCTCTCTCCAAATCAACTCCGAACTTCCCGGAATTCAATTCCGACCATGCGTGCAAGTCATAATACTTGAAGTGAAGCTACTCAGAGCCTCAAACCGCTGAACGACGCGCTAGAGCTCAAAACGACCGGTCGGGTCGTTACAACCCTAAGCAAAGTGTGGCTTCGCCCATGATTGCTCCCCCCAGGAGTTGTAGAACCCGAAGGTCCGGTAGCTGATGGTTTGATTAGAAGAGGATGGCGAAGGCACGACAGGTGTGCTGACTGGACTTGGAGAGCTCGGGTTTTGGGGATTAGCTGCTGGTGTGCTGGTGCCGGAGACTGTAATAGCCAACTTCTGTCCAGCTTGACAGTGCCTACCAAAAGTACAAATGTAGTAATGATCGCCAGGAGAGTCAAGAGTGACATTTGCTGGTCCCGTCATAATAGGATCGCCTATAGCATTTTGTGAACCACATGCATCGAACGAGCCATTTGGTACTTGCATCATGTCATGTTGGTTGGTTGCAAAATTGAATACTGTTTAACAATTGAAACAAAAAGGAAAATCATAAGCCCTTAAACGTTATTCCAAGTTCACGTAATTTGAATTTGGAAAAGCAAAATGTATAACATAAATTAGGACGACGTACGGTAGTAGTACAAGTAAGTATTATAGGTACGTACCTAAGACATCACCAACTCTGAAGGTTTTTTGGGAAGCCCAGTTTGTGTAAGCTGTTGCGCCGTTGTTTGGTATGGACCATCCTATGTTATCCCCAACTACGTGTATCATTTGGGCTGTTGTAACTTGTATCAAAGATGCTATGGTTAGTGCACCAGTAACAACCATGCACAGAACTCTATCCATGTCTAATTGATGCTTTATTTTGCTAGAGATGGATGAGATGCTAGTTATGTCTCTATAGCTTTATATAATGGAAGAGATTCTGAATTGGTCCTATATTGTAAACTAGGTACATGGCAGGAAAGTTTCAAGCTAGGAGGTCTTAAATTTCAATTATAGACGGAAGTCAATAAAGTAGTTTTCCATGTGAACTTGGACAATTTCAACATTAAACGCTGTGTGCGAGCAAGAGATCACCGCGTAGGAAATGGAATAAGAGAGTTAATAAACTCCGCACTCAATCATCAACTAAATTAAATTTAATCTACGGTTGACTTAGAACTTGTGGGCGGAAGTTGATCAAGCTAGTCGATGATAGGTTATCACTGATTTAGTTCGACCGGTTCTTTAAACTCAAGAAAAAATTTACCAATACGCATAATTATATTGATAGAATTTATTACTCGTTATTTAAATAGTTTGATAAATTTAAATCGTATGAATATTATGATACAAAATATCCAATATTATTACATTGGTTTAATTATATTTATATTATTATTAAAAGTTTCATGTATTTCGTAATGTTCTCTTTTACATTTTAATTCAACAAAATTAGATAATTTAATTAATGACTTTCATATATATATATATATATATAGAGAAATATTTTATAATATTTATCGATTTAAGTAAAACAAATTTCTATGTTTCTTTTCATAATTTGACAAGCTGCAAAAGTTCTTTTTAAAAAATTGGCCAAAACACAGAAGTATTTTTTAATATTGAAGACAGAACTTCTCAAATGATTTGACCCCTTCCCTGGAGGTTCTAGCAAAGCCAGTTGTGTTATTAACTCTGAAAGACTAAGTTAAGAAGAAAAAGAAAACGTTTAAGTCAACGTCAAATGTGATTTTTTTTACACTATTAATGTAATTTAATTTATTATAATAACATTTATTTTTGTTATTAATTAATCAATGCTTATTAAATAGTGTGACATGTAATTACCTTTTGAGTAACTGATCACGCTCAACTATGCCTTATAAAAAGGACTAAGTGGTCGTTGCAAATACAATCCGGTTTACAAGTCCGGAGTCGAATCCCACAGAGAACTAAAGCTTGGCTACAGCTTTTCAATATCACCAAGAAGACAAGCTTGAACAATTCCTAACTTATAGATATTAAGATTCATGTGTTTAACTAATTAAAATAGTAAATTAATAACTAAAGATACTAAGGGTTAGAGACAAGATTAAGGAGGTCTAGAGTTATGATTTCCCCTATTGTCGGAATCCTTTCCGCTACATTTTCTATAAATTCACCTAAGTATTCTCTACCGTTCATGAGCGCTCTGACTGTCGTAACTCTCTCCCGAGTAATTACCACAATTTACTAGGCATATTCTCCCGAATTACGCTAGCTGGAATTAAGTACGGCTCACTCAGATCGCACCCAAGGTTTCGTTATCCCTAATCCCACCTTTAAACCCTTCGTATTGATCCCTCATATACGTTAGGAATGATGTTGTTCAATAACTATCTAATTATGCACTCTCTCCCGAGTAATACATACTAAATAGGCACAACTAATTGAGGACCCTTCAATCAACCACAAGAATAATATAGTTGAACAAATAGAGAAAATACTACGACTCAATTATATAAAAACATAACAGGAATTTATCCTTCAAAAGGTTCCATCAAAACCCTAGATAACAAATTAGCTATTCATAATAGTATGTAAAACTACAATACTAAAAGTCATAACCAACAATGAAAAATAGGAAGAGGAAGGAAAAACTCGTAGAAGAATTCCCCGCCTTGATCCTATTGTGTCTCTGCCTCCTTAGGTCGAATCTCCGGTCCCCTTAGCCTCCTTAGGTCTAAATTATGTCAAAAGTATGTCAAAGGTCTTCAAAATACCGTTTTTCCATGTATATATACCAAGTAGGGTTGGGCCCAAACAATTACACCTTCTCCTACGCAAAAAATGACACATTTTCCGGACAGGACGTGCGCGGTCGCGCTTGGACCGCGCATATCCACTTTGATTCTGCCTGACGAGCGCGGCCTGAGCGCGGCTGTGCACTTTTCACCCTTTTCTGTTGGGAATTTGGAAAAACGTAAAACATGAAAGTGGTAGCCCTTTGAGTTAGATTTCCAACCATATATTGTGGAGCCCAAATGGAGTTCTGAGAAAAAGGTTACGTGCATTTTACTAGACAGTGCGCAATATGCCTACTCGATTCTTCGTTTGTTCTAACTATCATCCGTTGACCCCCGAACACGATCCCGACTTAATTCCTTGAGCTTTTACTCAGACTTGAAAGCTCCAAATCACTTGAATTTATGAACACCTAATTTTTTACACTATTTTAACACCTCCTAAAGTTATTAGTATTTTTGTTATTTTAATTGTGTTCCTCAAATTTTGTGTCTTTAATTGCATATTTTTATCATGAAAATATCAAAAATAATAGTTCTTCCTTCATTTGTGCATTTTAGGAATCGATTAACTTTTCAATAGGTGAATCAATCTAGTTAATTGATCATTTGAATAAGTTAGTTAATTAATTTATTTGTTTGTGTAAATTTAGTTTAATAAGTAGGATTAAGAAAGAAATTTGGCCAAATTTGAAAGAAAAAGTGGCCAAGAGTGCAAGATAAAGTGCTGCCATTCAAAGGGTTTAAAACTACGTAGTTTTGCCTCAAAACTACGTCGTTTCATTAAGTGATCAAGATATAATCTTGGTCACCCATCTTGACTTGATCCAACGGTCCTAGTTTGATCTTTACCCTAGGTATTTAAAGCCTAAAACCCCCCAAAATTTTCCCCCATTTTTCCCTTATTTCCTTTCTTCTTCCTCTCTCATCACTCTCTCTTCTCTCCCTCTTAGCTCCGCCAGCCGCCGCCCAGCCGCCGCCCATCGCCGCCGTCGGTGGCCAACCTCCAAACCACCCCAAAATTTCACCACTTCTTCCGCTCAACCTCCTCTCCATGAATCCGAACCCCAAAATCCCATAACCCCTCTCAATCTCCGTAGATCTAAGCTTAATCGAAACCCTAGCCGCCGCCCACCACCCCAAACTCCAAAAATTTTACACCACCGGCCTCCTCTTCTCCCCCTATTTCCATATCTCCGACTCAAAACCTCAAAAAACTCAACGCCGCCCTCCGCCGCCACTGCCCTAGCGCCGCCGCCACTGCCGCCCACTGCCTCTCGTTTCTTTTCTCCAACCGGCCTCGAGCAAGGTTGTGTCGTTGATATCATTGAATCCGGACTCAGATTCACCGGAATTTTTTGGTTTCAAGAATATCAACAATAGAAGCTTGCTCGAAAGTCGTACCACTGCCTATCATCGTTTCCCGGATGCTCGAGTATATGGTAAAATCGCAATCCCCGCCCCGTTATTAATTTTCTAATTTTTCTTTTTTTTTGGGTTTTAGTTTAGAGTTAGTTTCTATCTTGTTTCTTTATTTTAATCCATTTCTGATTATGTTTGTCTTTGTTAAATCGCTTCAGCGATATCGTGCGTTCCGTTTGGCTTTAATAGTTAATTTTTGTTTGCTCATGTTGGTTCATAATACATGTGTTGAAATTTAATTACATGTTTTAATACTTGGTTTAATTTGAATCAATAAGTTGATATTGGTGTTGTTAAAATCTGAAATTTAGATATTTTGTAGGGTACTAGTAGCTTGCTTTTAGTAGGGTGGCTGAAGTGACCCTTTGGCTCCTGCCATAGCAGACAGGCTGTCCTTTCACCTTTTGGACAGCCTTTAGTACACAAATTTAGCCTCTTTTGGACAGATTTTTGTTGAACCAAAATCTGTACAAAAAGTTGGCTTTTCTTTGCCTATTTAATGGCTGCCCTTTCTTCATTATAGGGGACTCCATCACACATTGGTTGGACAGTTTTTACACTCTAAAAATATAATTTTGAGAGTAAAAAATCAGCAACTAAAGCACCCTTTAGTTAGCTGAAATGAGGGGTTGAACACACATTTACACACAGAAAGGGGAGATCAAAGAAAAGAGAGCAGAAGATAAAAATTTCAGCAGCCTTTCACCTTTGAATATTTTCCAAAAAAGAGCAAAAACCTTCCAAAAAATATAAAAGGTTTGAAGTTAGTTTGTTGCTCCCTTCTTCTTTAAAAGCTGTTGAGTATCGAGGTTTATTCTGGGTTGTTTCACTGGTTCTTTTCACCGTTATTGCTACTGGGTTGAGTTTGCTTTGCTGGGATCGTTGGTCTGCTGTTCGATTCAACGTTTTTCACTGCTGAAATTTCAACTTCTAGGTAAAGTTTTGAACTCATCATGTAGTTTAAATGTTCATGGATGAAATAAAATGCATAAACATTTTGTTGGTTATTGCTTGTCTTAAAATGATTTGGTTACTCTAACAGGAATATATGAAGGTCTAAAGCTCATATCTAATGATTTTGGTTATATTAAGTTAGTTTTGTATGATTGTGATAATTAGTTCATTCAAGTTTACTTATTTATTTTTTATGTTCCCTTTGTGATTAAGAGTAATTTCTTATCTTTTGTGATGCTTATGTGTTTATTTGGAGTTTAAATAGGATCTTGGTTTCACATGAGTCAAGGAATATCTACGTTAGTTAATTATTAACCTTCACAGCAGTTTGTTTGGTCTTTAGAATTATTTCAGAGAGTTTTTTTTAGATACTTTAATTTTCAGAAAGCAAAAAGTATTCAGTTTCAAAAAC